CTGGTAACGTTATCAAGATTAGCCTTGGTGGCGCCGATGGGCGGAGGTCCGCCCATGACGAGCTCAGGAGCGACGGCGTCGAGACCGTAGCCGAGCGCGCCGTACAAGAACCAGTCGGCCTCCATGTGTTCCAGGTTAAGCGCGAACTGCAGCAGGTCGATGTCGGTAGGGAATATGGGGATGTTGATCGGCGGCGTCGGCACGGAGCATTTGGAAGCGGCATGGGAGAGGCCGACCGGCCCAAAAGAGATGAGGAATAGAAAGGAGAGAGAGAGCACAGACGCGGATGCTGACATGGCGGGTGTCACGGTAGTGCTGTGTGCTGGCTGCTGCTGAGGGACCGTGGGTTGTTTGCTCCTCCATTTATAGAGCGCTAATGGAGGATTGGCGTTTCGTCGATTGATCGGACGCAATCGTCATTCCCTATTACGACACACAGTGTGAAGGGAATATATAGATGTTTGCTTAGGAAAGAAATTGTTTGCACATATTACGATCTTCATAGGAGGAGGAGATGTGGCAAGTTACTGCTTATAACCCCAAATTATCTCGTTCATACATCATTCTGGATAACACTCATATCCATAATTTTAGCTAACTTAAGGAATAGATACTGAGATAATAAGATTGGTTCTTTCTCCATCATCACATAATAAGGAAGTGGTGGTCGGTAGTCTTCTTCTCTCTCTAGGAATGAATCACTCGTCTTCTTCACCTTATGCATGCGTTAGGAACAGGAATGGGATATTGTGTCGCCTCCTGTCCATTATTTATCATTACCTGCAAAACTTTCCATTGTAAAGCACACCTCGACGATGTCAGAAACATGATTTAACAATGGTAGTTTATGGATGATGGATTGAATTCTAAGAGCGATACATGGAGACTCGGATCTTCATTCTGATTAGCTTTTATATCAATGACATGTCCGCTGATATCTTACGATGTTTGCTTTTCTTATAAGGAAACAAAGAACATCTTGCCTCTAATCTCTGGTATAACAAATGCTCCGATTGACACCAAAAATCCCTACCGTCTCTCTCTAAAAAGCATATATAGAAAAAAAAAAAGAAAGTGAAATTAGTACACTAGCAGTGCACATTTAAAACGAGATAAAAATGAATGAAAAAGCTTATTTAATCAGTCAATTGATAAAGGTATAGTCATCATAATCGAATCAAATGAACTGCTTTCTCATCCTGGTAGGCCATTGCTTCAGAAAAAAAACAAAAAGAACTTCAACACTCCTCTATGATCTATTGAAGAACTGCAGAGGTCCTTGAATGGAATATCACAATTCAGTCGGTTGTCACGGTGCACACGAGAGCATCCCAACGAAGGCTACTGAGCCGCAGGACAGCAATGCCACAGGCAGCTGGTGGGAAGGGGACGGAGAAAGGTGACTGCCAGATTCCAGCATTTGCCTGATCCATGGAAGCTTTTGAGAGCTTTCTGTCTTGATGGGGAGTATGCTGTTGGCTTGGACTTTGACTGGGCGGAGCAACCCAAACCGTCTGCTGCTCTGCTACCGCTGCTCCATTCTGCAGTGACGAATGGTCTTCGGAGAGTAAACCAGCAGATGAAGACAAGTAAAACGGAGATCACGTGGAAGATGTAGTCTCGCATGACCTGATTTCAGTACAGTGTCACCTCAACAGAGTGTGAGATGATGTACGTAGTCAGTCTTACGTGGTCTGACTGAACCCACTCGTATTGCGGGTCGGATCGGACATCACCCGGTCCATCTACTCCATGTCGGATCCGAATCCACACGCTCCCAAGTCTTCCGTTTGACCTCCTCCGCCGCCGCTTTGCGCTGCCACTCTTTCCGTCACCCTCTCTCTCCGACTTAACAGTGAAGTAATTCTGAATACATTACTGGAACTTCATACCGTCGTCTTTGCTCTTGTCTTCCGCAAAGCAACTTACCGGTTGGTGTAAAGTATAAACAAAAACCAAACTGGATATTACCTCGGATCTATTTGCCTTTGCTTGCGCGAATCAGCATACCGCTTTGTATCCCCTGCTCGTCTTCTTCCTATTTATGATTGCCCTTGTTTTTCTAATTTATCTTTTCAACCTTCTCCTCGCTTCCCAAGCGGGCATCTTTTTCTCCGCACAAAACAAAACATCGAATTAGAAGCCGGGAAACGACGAGCCCCAACCCTAAAACCAGGGCGCTCCCGTCGCCGGAGCTCCGATCGAGCCGCCGGTTATCCCTCCTCGGGTTATCCTTTTCCTGCACCTCCGGGCGGCGGCTGCGGCGGCGGTGATGAGCTAAGCCATGGGTTGCATCCTCGCTAAAGAGGCCTCCCCTCCCCCCACGCCCTCCTCCCTCGGCAGCCGCCGGCGGGAGAAGGATCGCACTGTCGCCCCCGTCGCTTCCGGCCGCAAGTCCCAGGCCACGCTGCCCAGGAACGAGACCGTCGTCGATGCCTCTGCGACCGTCACCGAGGTCGCCACCCGGCAGGAAGATGCGGAACGGCCGGCAGGGAAACGTCCGGCGCGGCGTCGGCGGCAGAGGCCCGAACCGAGGCTGAGCAACCCTCCCGGCCACGTCCACGGCGAGCTGGTGGCCGCCGGGTGGCCCTCCTGGCTTTCCAATGTCGCTGGGGAGGCCATCAAGGGCTGGACGCCCCGACGCGCCGACACCTTCGAGAAGATCGACAAGGCTAGCTTCCACCTTTACTTCGGCTGTCTCTACCTGTTTGCCTGTTTCAGTGAGGTTTTGCTACTAAAACCAGCACTTTTTGTTGTGATATAGATTGGGCAAGGGACCTACAGTAACGTTTACAAGGCTAGGGACATGTTGACGGGTAAAATCGTGGCTCTGAAGAAGGTCAGGTTCGATAATATGGAGCCAGAGAGTGTGAAATTTATGGCAAGGGAGATCCTTATTTTACGAAGGTTGGATCACCCTAATGTGGTGAAACTGGAAGGTCTAGTGACTTCCAGGATGACTTGCAGTTTGTACTTGGTGTTCGAGTATATGGAGCACGACCTTGCTGGTCTAGCTGCGAGTCCCACGATTAAGTTTACCGAGCCTCAGGTTGGTTTTTCAAGATATATCCACTCTATTCACCTCTTAGATGTATCATCTTTCTCATGCCAGGTTTCTGAATTTGTGCTTGGGCAGGTGAAGTGTTATATGCACCAATTATTGTCAGGATTGGAGCACTGTCACAATAATGGTGTGCTGCACCGAGACATTAAGGGTTCCAATCTCCTGATTGATAATGAAGGGTTACTTAAGATCGCAGACTTTGGCCTAGCTACGTTCTTTGATCCTAACCATAAGCATCCAATGACTAGCCGGGTGGTCACTCTATGGTACCGGGCACCAGAGCTTCTCTTGGGAGCCACTGACTATGGTGTGGGTATAGATCTTTGGAGTGCAGGCTGCATTTTAGCAGAGTTGTTAGCCGAAAAACCTATTATGCCTGGGAGAACTGAGGTAATTGGTTGATTTCATGCAATGCAACGTCCAAATTTCCACATGGTACATGACAACAACTTCTGAGGAAGAAGCCATAAAAAGTTTATTGTTTTCCCTTTATTTGGTATTTAACTATCTTTCGGTATATCATTGCCGATACAGAAAGATGATAATATAAAGAACATGTTATATACTGATTAGGAATTTAAGTTGTATTTATCCACATATACAGGTTACGTTTTGGCTCTATTGAGCTAAAGGTACGTGTGTGAGAGTGATGGTAGGCTTGATGATGGTAGATGATGAACAGTTTGTAGAGAAAATTGATGTAATCAATATTCTGATGAGAGTCATATATTCTTGTGTTACATCTATTGAAATCATTCTTGTAATAGATTTGTTAAACCAAGGTGTGATAATCAGCAATAGATATTTGCTAGAAGAAAACATGGTGATCAGAAACATGATTTGTGATGGCAAATTTAGCCATAACAAAGGATATAGGCTTTGTTGAAGTGCTTAACACAGTTTTGAAGGTAAAATCCTGACAAGAATGCAAGTCTAGAGTTGTCTTTACCAAAAAGAGAGGATGCGAAGAGCACAGTTGAGAAGCCAAGCCAAAAGATTGAGGATCATATGGAATTGGCTAGTTGTGGCCAAATTTAGGTTACAATTAAAAAAAGAGATGATAAACATTTTATTGAAGTTTGAGCAAGTCAAATTGAAGTGACGAATCAGGAATCTATTCAAGTTTCCATTCTATGGTCTGATCGAGATAACATAAAATGCACAGGCAGATGGGTACATATGTGCTTCTAGGATTTGTTAATAGTATAAGGCAAGACAAGGAATCAGTGGAAGTATGATATTATAGCTCAGTTCCATGAACACAGAATTATAGTTCCTGTCGACTGATCCTTCCAAAAGATTCCCTTTGTGTGAAGAAAACCATGTTGACATGATATACCTGGTTCACCATAGCTCGATCAAGTATTGGTTGGCGATACCTAATTTTCAAAGTATTGTTCTCATGCAAGAAGTTGCAAAATCATCTGAAGATAACCCATCTGTTATGATGACTAACCAGAAGCAAGCAACTTCTGGGAAGTAGTGAGGGGTAATTTGGAAGTGAAGATAGTCTAAATATTTGGCTAAGAGTGACCAAGATCAAACCAAAAAATATAGAGAACATTTTGAAGCATGGTTGGCCATAAAATATGTTGGACTTGATGTGTAAATTGGGACATGAGATATGATTCATAAAAGTTGATCAAAAGAAAAAGATTATAAGATAAAACAAATTACAATGTTCTTCATTGTAAGTCGAGATACATTAATGTGGGTTTCGATATATATTTTCTGATTGCATCCTTTTTCTTCTTACATTATAGTTGAAGGTGGAGAGATCCGATTATACATGATAATCTTATGAAATGAACTATTTTAGATTGAATTCTTCTATCAGCAATGCAGCATTTTCTGGTCTTAACAGGTAGCATTGTACAAATTATTTTATGTCTGGGATGAAAATTCAATCTCAGAAGGACTAGATAGGCTTGCATCTCTAGTGGACTTGTTTCTAAAAGCATTCAATAAACATTTCTAGGTATACCCTTCTCTGTGAAAACCTGACGGACAATGGGGCCTGTTAGAAAAATGTGCAAACAATTCTGAGATTGACTCTGGATGTTTGTACATTTTCTTGATCCTTTATTGGATTGTGCTCTTGCTTTCTCCTACTTCTAGGTAATTTTAGCTGTAGTCTGACTATATCAATCACCTTTGAGGGGCTATAGTTTGGTATATAATATGCTGGCAGAACCTAAGTCACATTCTCTAGGAGATCAAGGTAATACAAGTTTACACCATCAAAATGTATCCAATGTGTCTTGCTACTAAATCTTCCTTGCTTGTGGAACTTGTATTTGCTTGAGTCCACTAAGGGAGGCCCATTGCACAAAGCTCTTGTCAATGCTAAGTGTGAGGATGGTCACTATATGTGGCTTTCCTCCTGCAAGCAGAGAAATTGTTAGTGCCACTGGAAAATTGGTCAGTTGATTTGCAAAGGATTAGTCCACTAAATCCCTTAACAATCAAGAACGTTTGAGGGTATTGACCTAATTTCTTCCATAATTTCAACTCAAGGTGTACATGTATAGGAGAGATGCCACAATGTAATGTAAAGTTGCTAATTGAGGTTGATAAGGACATTTAGTCCCACATTGATTAAGGAGTAGGAGAACCAAGCGCTTATAAGTCCACCGGGTCACCTTTATCCTCAAAGGTGCCTTTTGGAGCTCACGAGTTCCGAAAGAACAAAACCGTGCGGGTATGCTCATTGCCCAAAGCGGACAATTCCTCGTGGACCGACCAAATATTGACTTATCAAAGGTATTGCTTGGACATTGTTACAAGTTTAATTTTTTATACATATACTACCATGACTATGCTGATTACACATAATAGCACAGTGTTTTTGTTGTTTCTATAAGGTTTCTACATATCATGACTGCTGTGTGATGAATGGCTTCATTTATCAGGTTGAGCAGCTGCATAAGATTTTCAAGCTTTGTGGTTCCCCTTCAGAGGACTACTGGAAGAAGTCAAGGTTGCCACATGCCACAATTTTTAAACCTCAACAATCATACAAACGTTGTATAAAGGAGACATTCAAGGATTTTCCACCATCATCATTGCCATTAATCGAAACTCTTCTGGCAATCGATCCAGCTGAACGTTTAACTGCCACAGCTGCATTAAATAGTGAAGTGAGTTCCATATTTTATGATATCTGTACTCTGGACAACAATTTTGTTAGTACTTGTGATGGCCTGATCTTTTTCTTTCCTGCTATGAAGCTCATTGCACGCTTGATAATAAGGCTGTTTTGTTAATGTCATGGCCTTTTCACTGTTTTGGTTTCTATGAATGTTTTGGAAGTAGATGGCACCAAATGGATGAGGCATTACGGGTTGTTGTTGTTATTTTGGAAGGAACTTCTTATTAATATATTTTTGATTTTATCCTGCTCATTCTTGATAGTATATTTTCTGGTTATGTTTTTGGTTACTTGAACAATAACAAATTCATGTTCATGTAGAAATTAATCAAGCATGATATTTGCTTAACTGAACAGCTCTAGTTCTATATGTTTTCTTGTTGTTACACAGTAGTGGTAAGTGGTAACTCTGGGCACTGCTTTATGTCAATGAAATACTTTTATAGTTCTCACAAGGTCCTGGTCTTAGACTCGAATCCTGCCTTCGCCGCTTACCCTTTTATAAAAAAAAAAAAATTATGACACTTGATTTTTAGATAGTTGCGAAGATCAATAAGAAGACAATATATCTGATGCAAATTTTGAAGCCTCCTCTCTAGGATTGTTCCGTTTTGGGTATAATATTGGCATATGCATTGACACGTATGATATATGCAGCCTACTGCTTCAGTTATAATCATGAGCATTTAGCTCTTCTTACTCTTTCTCAATCCTTCCCTTCCTCCACTCGTCCATTCTTTAATTTCCAACAATTCCAATTGGGCAAAACATTGGTCAGCTATCTGGCTGCCATATGGTTGCTACCTCCTCTAGCTGCCCAATTCAAATTCCATCATGTAGGGGAATCTTCTCTATGCATGGATTTTGTGGAATCATGGCTGAGGAGATTCCCACAAATGATGTGTCAACCACTATTAAGTGCACAATATTCCTTTTTTTTATGCCATATGGCAAGGTTTGTCTATTGATTTGATGCAGTGGTAACTTGGCATCTTAAATTGACAAGATTGACTTAGCATAAATTCAACATTTGGTCTGATGAGCCCTGCCTCTTTTTCTCATCTAACAAGAGAAGGAAAAACTTATATCCACTGCCAAGTTAATCTCTCATTTGCTGAGATCCATCCATTGATTCAGGTGAGAGAACGGCATGCTAGATTGGAATTATCAAGAAGTTACTAATAATAATTTGTTATTAGCTCCATGCTTTGCTTTCCCCACTTATATGTATTGGCAATTTATGTGCATTTTTTTCCTCAGTATATGTATCTCTTTCTTGTAATATGATCAACTTCATGACCTGCTTTGCCTTTTGTAGTTCTTTAGTACTCCACCATATGCATGTGAGCCATCCAGCCTGCCAAAATATCCTCCAAGCAAGGAGATGGATGCTAAACTGCGGGATGAAGAAACAAGAAGGTTTTTTTTCATTTACCTTCCTATTGATTTCCTTGGTCTACATCCAATGAATTCTTTTGATAATGCTTCAAAACCTATTTCTCGGTGAAAATCAGTTCTCATATTTTCATTATCACATGCTTTTTTTATTCATAGGGTCTGCTGGTGATTCAGAAATAATCTGATATTATAAATGTCTGGATATTCCTTGTAGTAGTGTTTGTCCTATGTTGTTATTCTGAAATTGTGTTTTATGCGGTTGATATAACATAGCAGTGCCATAATGATACTCAATAATAGTGATAGTGTCAGAGGAGTAAGATGAGTCTTCTATATAAGTAATTATTATACTCCGTCTGAAAAATAATGGCAAGCAATATAGTTTGTTACCCTTTAATCAAGTTTTCTATGAAAGTAGCAGTTTTTCAATGAATGCTTGTCCTGTCTAGCAATTATTAGAGGGAAAGTTATGGCCACAAGGACATTTAAGATATCAATGAATCGTGAAGTGATTTTGGATACTGAATTGTTCATTTCAAATTTATTATATGTAATTAGTGAGATCAACTTATGCAGACTGAAAACTGCTGGAGGGAAAGGCAACATAAATGGAACGAAGAAGACACGCACACGTGACCGAGCTATGAGGGCAGTTCCAGCCCCAGATGCTAATGCTGAACTTCAAGTAAACATAGATGTATGTTAAATAAACTGCTACTTTTTATGTCATCTTCTTATGATGTTAATGAAATTGTTCTGCTGCTATGCCGAGTATTTAAGTTAGTTGTTGGTAACCAAAGTTATTTTTTGAAACATTGGATTACATACCTTGTAGTCTGGGAATTCTTTTTCCATAATTTATGACCATCTATTGTACTGATAGTAATGGACCTACTACTTGTAGGACTTAATTTAGACAATGAAACTGGCCGCCAGGAGTTGGACAACTAGTGACCTGCAATCAAGGCAGGAACTGTAGGAACTTCTGCTCCTCTGGGTACATCATAGTGTGGGTTCCGACCTTTATTAGTTTAGGAACTAGTTTAAGCTGAAAATAGGAAATAACTTGCATGGAATTATTTATTTTAGAAGCTCAGCATGTAAAGATAGTATAAAGGATATAATAAAAGATTTCAAAAGAGAGTATATGAGATATGAGAAGAGGTTTAAGGAGCCTGTATTGCAGAAGTACTTTTTGCTCACAGCACAATGTATGGATATTTTTTTTCTTCAAATGGTGAGATTAGTTCAGACCTAATTAGATGCTTCTTGGTAAATTATCAGCATAACTAGTTTTTTCCTTTATTATCCAGCATACTTGGTTTCTGAAGGAAGTTGAATCCTTTTGCATTTCCAAGTCAGCAACTAAAAATGTTATTGAACATCAAAAAAAAAAAAAGGAAACACGACCTGAAGTTCAAAACTGCACTTTATTTGATCCCTTAATCTTATTTTGTTTGGTTTTAGTCATTACTTAAAATTAAGCTATTCTAAAATTGTTTGAATAGAATAGCTTTGTAGTTAAACCAAAAGCCATATTTATCTTGCTAAAGAATCATCTAGTTGATTTCCCATCTACACATATAAGTATTGAATTAATTGCTGTGGGCCAAATAACCAAGGTTTGACTTCTTGGTTCGGTACCAGTTTCAGTGATGTACTAGACTGGTATGGTACCAGTATACCAATATTGCTGAGTATCAACCGGAACTAATAAAGAAAAACAGATACCAGTCTGTGTGCACTTTATTGATGGGTATTTTAAAGTACCCCATAACCAACATGTTCTATCTTTTTCATTCTCTGCCTGCTTTAGACTTGGATAATTTCTAACTATACATTTTCTTACTGAATCTCAGCAGAGTTAAATGGAAGTAAAAGATACATATACCCAATCCCGAATAGTTGGGATGTTACAGCTTGTTGTTGTTGTTTAGCTGATGAGCAAGTTATATGATGTCACAAAGGTGCAAGGTTTTTGCTTAGAGTTTGCCATAATTGACACATAACATAAGACTGTTAGCAAAGTTTGTATATCATATAGTGTACATATTTTTATTCATTCCAATTGTGTGCAGACTGTTACTTAAGCATGAACATATAAGACTTTTGCAGCGATGATCTTCTAGCATGCATAGTTCTTTTACCTTCACTTGTCAAATATCATTCATATTTCAGCATATGGCCAACCTGAATACCTTTTGAGTTCATGAACTATAACCAAAGGAAAAGGCAACACAAGCCCATAGAAATTCCTGTTTGCTTCAAATAGACAAACTTGTGGTCTTGACAGTTCTTTAAAATTTTAATGATTATTTCTTTCTCTGCCACTGGTGTTTTGTACTTTATGCCCGTTTAGGCCTTGACTTTAGAATTAGTCTTAAATTGTAGTGGTTGGACACATTCTCACTCATTTTGGCAATGGAGAGTTTCTGTAAAAAAGAAATTATGAATGAGTATACTCCGAGTATACTCCTAAGAGGCTGCTATTTATTTCTAATATGTAACTAGAGCTGTAACTTCTATTACCATGCAGCTTCCATGGGATATCTATATAACACGTCTTTTCTTTTTGTAACTAGCAGAGAAGGCGTCTGATTACACATGCTAATGCAAAGAGTAAGAGTGAAAAGTTCCCCCCACCACACCAGGATGGAGCACTTGGCTACCCATTGGAGTCCTTGCATCATATGGATCCTGCATTTGACCCCCCCGAAGCTTCATTCGGCACAGTGTTCCCCTACCAGAAAGGAGGAATGACAGCATGGTCTGGACCATTGATTGATTCTGCTGCTGCGGGAAACCCAAGAAGAAAGAAAAAATCTGCGGGCAATTCTCAGATACCGACGAACTCAAAACAGCTTGCAGGTGCCAGTGCTACTAAGGAAGCATAGAAAAACAAGGGCATTAGTCAAGTCAGATGAGATGCATGCCATATCAAACAGGCAAATTGTTTATTACTTGAGCATTGTCATATGCTGGTGTAGTTAGAAACCCTCTTAATTGGATGGCCAGGTAAAAAGTAGCTTTCTTCAACCCCTTTCTTTGTATTTCTTCTATATCTGTTAATTTTTTGTATTGTTAGCCTTGAGTCAGCAAGATGGAGAAGAGTCTATTGGTGCCTTGTAAATTGCCTTTTTTTTCCCTCCTTTTGGCCTTTTGATTCCCGTATTAAGAACTGGATTCTGGTTTAGGTTATTCGAGTCAAATAAATGTCTGGAATCCTGGAATTTCTGAATCCTTCTGTATTTTAGTTATATTCCAACCGTTCTGCCCCGTGAACATTTAGGTTTCTGGTTACTGTTATTTGAAAAGTGTGTTGTAGAAAGTCCTGATTTATGTGCTGCAACAGCTTTGTTAGTATTGAGTGTCAATCGGATTTCAAGGACACTCACATTTAAAACATTATTTGGATGGCACTACCATGTTATAATACAAGTTCTACGGATATTTTATCCTTGAGCAAAAGATCCCAACCCCAAATAGTTGGGACTTTTCTGTTTTGTTGTTGTTGTTGTAGTAGTAGTAGTAATGGGTTTATGATTATTAGGTAGTGAAGATGTGAAATTAATTGGTGTACCTATTCTAACTTTTTCTATTTGCATTATTTTTTTTATCGCAAACAGATTCTTTTTAGTGTACAGCAGCGTGTTAGTCTTCAAATTCTGGCTTTTGGTGGATTTATCATGCTGAGTTCAGGATAGTACTGGAGTGAATTGTTTTGCTGTTGATATTGAGGATGTTTCTCTGAATGAAAAAGAACATGATTGGTGTTTCTAGTGCCTTAGTTGTCTCCTGAACTGTTCCATAGGGTGATCGGGACTTTTCAAGAACCATTTGCCCCTCACTGGAAGTCATATCTTTGTGGTTCATGGATTGGTAGCATAAGACAGCAAGCATTTCCATTCTCAGGTTTCTTTACTTAAGGTCATTGATGACGTGGATCAACCTCTCGGCTATCTTTGCAAATTATGGTGGGTATCTTTTGATCTCAAAAGTTTGTACGATAGAATTCATGTTTGATTAAATATATAGTGGATTAATTATATATTATTTCATGTAATTAGTTATTTTTGTCATTTTGATTTTTAAATTAAAAAAATGACATTAGTATTCGTATAATTATGAAAGTTAAACATTCATATCCATTTATCGATGATTTTATCAATGAAAATAAAGAGTAAAAAGATAATTTAAACATTTCAATTGATGGTAATAGATGACGTCGATAGTGGCAGGCAATGATGTTGTTGGGGGTTATGGGTAGGTGTTGTGGATGAGAAGAGAGATGGGGAGAGGTGATGGTTGTTTTATATTTGTATCGACGTCGATATAGTTGCCAAGCGACGAAAGGATCGCTCGGTATCTGTATCAATATCAACACAAATGTAGAGCAACGTCGCTCGACGATTGCGTTAGTGCCGACATAGATACAGAGCGATATCACTCGATAACTTCATCGATGTCTATGCAAATGTTGAACAATGTCGCTCGGTAATTGCATCGATGCCAATGCAGGTGCAGAGCGGCCTTTATCTCTTGTTATTATTCTCCTCATCCACAATAGTCATCCGTAGGCCCCAATGTAGGTGCAGAGCGGCCTTTATCTCTCGTTATTATTCTCCTCATCCACAATAGTCATCCGCACAGGCCCCAACAATGCTATTGTCTGTTACTACCGATGTCGTTCGTCACCACAAATTGGAATGTTAAAATTATATTTTTACCCTTTATTTTCGTGTTTTTATTAGTAAAACTAACAACGTTTAGATAAATAGATCTAGATGTTTCATTTTTGTTACTATATAAATGTCAATGTAACTTTTTAAGAGTACAAGAGGAATCGAAATACTAACCAGAACTAACTAGAAAAGGTAATATGTATAATTAGCCCACACTGACCTCTCGAATTAAAGAGGTTCAAATTATAGTGACAAGGCAACGATGATAACCGGCCATTGACGCAGCTGAAGAACAGAGTGAAGGCTGAGCTTTCGATGAACGAAGAGGCTAAAAGGATTGGCACACTCATACCGGGGAAAAATGGGGTCTCTTGTTCTTCACCGAGAGCAAGGTATGGCAAATGGGGTCGTCTGTTTCAGTTGAAGGCAGGCTTTTGAGCTTTCGATGCTGGAATATCTAGAGCTGATATATCTGGATCCATAAGGTCGGCATGGATTGAGGATGTGGATCTTCTCAGAAATGTGCACGATGATTCTTGACAATGTCACCATACTACAAATGAATCTTCTTCACTTGTCACGATAACATGATTTTTCCTAATCTGCATCGGCATTCTTATGGTATTGTTTTACTTCTCCTTGAAAAGATTCTGCAGAGATCTTCAGCCTATCATCGATCCAATGTGGTGAAAACACAAAAGACAGTCGTAATCATGTCCGCTTTAACATTCTAATCGTCGGAAAACACAACGTTCTGCAGTGATGTGATCTGCGCACGGTGCATTCAGTGTTTGGATGACCAATTTGGATGACACTCCAATCTCTTACCTATCCAACGTGACTCAGCTCCAAAGGGATCAGATAGATCATCCAAAAAAGGTCTCCCTTGTCCAAATCATTTGACATGGATTGGTGGATTTCCAATTCGATGACACACATGTTGGAGGATCTTCCAAAGGCAAAGGAGAGTGGAGGGTGATGGAAGAATAAAGTGCAGAAATCTCCTTTCTCGAGAATTCCAGATTTATCTATCCATGATACCAACTTCTGTACCCTTATCTAAACACAACACATTCCCTGTGGAAGTGGATTCTCTTCTGAGGGCCGCATCTGTCTCCTCCAGTACTCAAAGGTTACCATCACTTTCAGCTAGCATCATATCTCATGCCTGAATTCATAATGATCGACATACATCTGTAATAGATGAAGCTGTAACAAGCTAAAACATGTGACAGTCCGAGCTCAATGACTTGGTTGTTTCTCTTGGCACAAACTCATACCAAGCCTCTGTCTATGTTCTATGATCGTGTCTCCTCTTTCTTGGAGACTTCCCTTCCTATTTTTCCTTGTGTCGCATCCGACCCACGAAGAGAATGCCCGTTTTCCTGGCAGCATGCTACAGTCAAAACAGAGATGAAGTGTTCATGCTCGGGTCGCAGCAGCACAGATTAAAACATGTTTCCTCGATGAGGTCATGCAGATGTAGCAGCACAAAACACGAGCAACATCGGTGGTGGCTTTTCATCCAGCCAATGGACAAGGGAAACAAAGAAAGAAAGAAGGATTGCAACCCAAAAGATTCTGCTACAGCCAAAGACCATCGGAATCAACTGTCGCTTCACGTACAGGATGAGGATTCCACTATATTGCGTGAGTCCCCTCTGTCCCACACAGTTGTAGAAGATCTTATGCTTCTGTTTCATACACCAATTGTTAGCCAATGTTGCTCGGAAGTAACTCTTTCGATGCAGAAGACGTTTGTGATGAAACGAGTGCTTAACATGAATGTATATCTTTTAGTGAACAAATGTATCATAGCTAATGAGTCAGCACGGCCCGGGTCACGGGTCAACGTCGGGAGTTTTCTGCTGGCTGAGCTGGATCCCGAGGTCGACCGGGCCCTCACGACGGGGTGCTGATCAGCATTCCTTAGTGTGCTGATCCGAGCGCTATGTATGTTGTGCTGTGTCTCTCCTTCTCTGGGGTGGTTGGCAACTCGTCTTCGTGAGATAATCGTGTTTTCCTATAAAAATGACCCTCGTCGGGATCACCCGACGAGGTCCCTCTGACGAGCAAGTCAGTGGAGTGATCAATTAAATTTTCTCCCCTCCCCTTTTTTCTTGGATCAGGTCGGGGGTATTTATACCTGCATACGGGGATTGGTCGGGCCTTGGTCCATCATGGCCATTGACTCTAGGGGTGAAACTACCTCTCCGACGAGGTGACATCTTCGGGGGTGCTTGAGCGACGTCAGACGGCACCGCCCCTTGCTCTTCGGGTGGTCAGGCTGCACAATCGCACAATTGGAGCTTGACGAAGCATGCACCCTACAATTCTAGAGGCATACGGTGTTGCATCGGTCTGCAGTGTTTGTCGGTGGTTCACATAGGGCCAAAATATGCCCTATCCACCATCCACCACCCACGCCGCCCCCCCCCACAGACACACACACACACTTGAGGCGCGCTGACGGATCGTTGACGGTCCGGGAGGCATGCTTAGGTTTGAGGGATATGACAGCGCTGGGCTTTTTGTGGGAGGAACGATTTGTCGGGGGTAATTTAGGAGGGCGGTGCCCAGTGATCTGGGCAGGATTGACCTTGCTGGTCGAACGATAGAGGCCTGTCGAGGCAAAACTGAAGCGTCGAAATCGGCGAGGCAAGACTTGCACGACGAGGCTGGATTGACTCGTCGGGGGGCGTTTTAGAGGGGTGATGCCCCGTGCTTCGGGTAGGATTGACTCTGTCGATCGAACAGTAAGGGCTTGTCGAGGCGAAACTGATGTGTCGTAGGTCGGATAACGGGTTTGGCACGACTCGGAGTTACGGTTGCCGAGATGCGACTGGGGCATGGCTCATGCGTTGGATTAGCCGAGGTGCGCTGAGGCGGTGGTTCGGGCGTTGGATTGGCCGAGGTGCCTTGAGGCATGGCTCGGGCGTTGGATTGGCCGAGATGCGTGGCTCGGGTGTTGGATGGCCGATGTGCGTGGCTCAGATGCTGGATTTGGCCGAGATGTGATTCGGGCATTGGATGGCCAATGTGCGTGGCTCGGAAGCTGGATTTGGCCGAGATACAACTCGGACGTTGGATGGTCGAGGTGTGTGGCTCGGACGCTGGATTTGGTCGAGATGTGATTCGGGCATTGGATGGCCGATGTGCGTGGCTCGGAAGCTGGATTTGGCCGAGATACGACTCGGACATTAGATCGGGCCAAGATGTGACCCGAGCATTAGATTGGCCACGAGGCATGGCTCGGGCATTGGATCGGGTCGAGATGTGGCTTGGGCATTTGATTGGCCGCGAGATGTGGCTCGGGCATTGGATTGGGTCGAGATGTGACTCAGTCATTAGATTGGCCGCGAGGCGTGGCTCGGGCATTGGATAGGGCCGAGGTATGACTTAGGCATTTGATTGGCCGCTAGGCGTGGCTCGGGCATTGGATCGAGCCGAGATGTGGCTCGAGCATTAGATTGGCCACGAGGCATGGCTCGGGCGTTGGATCGGGCCGAGATGTGACTCGGGTATTAGATTGACCGCGAGGTGTGGCTCAGGCATTGGATCAGGCCGAGTGGGTATCTTTGGCTCTGAATCGGACCTGGGGACCGAATAAGTTTAGTTCCGATTCGAGTTTGGGGGCCGAGTTTATGAGCTCGGTTCCGAATTGAGTCTAGGGACCAAGTTTGTGAGCTCGGCTCCGAATTGAGTCTGGGGATCGAGTTTGTGAGCTCGGCTCCGAATTGAATCTGGGGATCGAGTTGTGAGCTTGGTTCCGAATAGAATCTAGGGACCGAGGTGTGAGCTCGGCTCCGAATTGAATCTAGGGACCGAGGTGTGAGCTCGGCTCCGAATTGAATCTGGTGACCGAGTTGTGAGCTCGGCTCTGAATAGAATCTGGGGACCGAGGTGTGAGCTCGGCTTCAAATTGAATCTCGGGACCGAGTTGTGAGCTCGACTCCGAATAGAATCTGGGGACCGAGGTGTGAGCGCGGCTCCGAATTGAATCTGGGGACTGAGTTGTGAGCTCGGTTCCGAATAGAATATGGGGACCGAGTTGTGAGCTCAGTTCCGAATAGAATCTAGGGACCGAGTTGTGAGCTCGGCTCCGAATTAAATCTGGGGATCGAGTTGTGAGCTCGGTTCCGAATAGAATATGGGGACCGAGTTATGAGCTTAGCTCCGAATAGAATTTGGGGACCGAGGTGTGAGCTCGGCTCCAAATTGAACCTAGGGACCGAGTTGTGAGCTCGACTCCGAATTGAATCTAGAGACCAAGTTTGTGAGCTCGGCTCCAAATTGAGTGTTGATGGGTCGCTCATCAGGAGTGATCTGGAGTGACTCGGGCAGGAATCGAGCTTGAGGTGCTGACAGGTCACTAGTTGGGAGCGATTTGGAGAGGCTCGGGCAAGAGCTGGGCCGACGAGCCACAAGTCTGGGCCGGTGAGCCGTAGGTAGGAACCTATCTAGAGCGGCTCAAGCAAGAGCTGGGCTTGCGGGCTACAGGTCGAGAATCGATCTAGAGAGGCTCGGGCAAGAGCTGGGCCAGCGAGCCGTAGGTTGGGAATCGATCTGGAGAAGCTCGGGCAAGAGCTGGACTGACAAGGCGCAGGTTGGGAGCCGATCTGGAGCGGCTCGGATGAGAGTTGGGCCGGCGAGCCATAGGTCGAGAACCTATCTAGAGCGGTTCAAGCAAGAGCTGGGCCTACGGGCTGTAGGTCGGGAACCGATCTAGAGAGGCTCGGGCAAGAGCTGGGCTAGCGAGGCGCAGGTTGGGAGCCGATCTAGAGAGGCTTGGGCAAGAGCTGGGCTAGCGAGCCG